CCTCCATACACCTTTAATCCGCCGACACGAACCAGCTCAGGTCTATGATCTGTTCCACCAAAAGTGATTTGTCGAGATTTGTTGTTTTTCTACTTGGTCTGCTTTACTACCGGCGTTGGGAATAGACGGGACGGGGTTATTTCTTTTTGATTTGGGATACATGGATTGATACCAAGACAGACTAGAACGTTGGACCTCGCGGTCAAATACCTGGAATTTATTTTTCTTTTCCTTACAATTTCGTCATCATTTGCTCCTTAATACAGTCTGCTAAAAATTGATTCTGGATATTTTCAATGCTTTATCATATTTTAAACCGAGCGAACTTCATCGTGGTTGCGTCAATGTGGATAATTGTGTATGAGTTTGCGCGTATGTGTACACTACTACTGGCACTGGCATAGATAATCAAAGTTCATGGTTTGGGGAATTATGACTACTGCTACTGCTACTACTACAACTACAATGGCGTGTCACTCCATAATGTGAAAATCGCAACCCACTGCACCAGTACGGGGAAAACCTGCAAGTCAGCTGGATAAGTGAGGACTTGGGGAAAAGAAATTCGGCACTCGGACGAGACCCCGACGATGACATCTAACCGTGATTGTCTTCAGGGTTGTTTGACGGGAGCCCACAGAGCGACTTCAATCTGATTTGCCGGGGAGAAGGCAGTGGCATTATCTGGGTGGATCCCTGGTCGAGAATCAACAAGTTCTGAACGGCGTGCATGTGCTTCTTTTTTGGGCAGCCACCGGCTCTGCACAAATCATGTCGTGCAACGTTGGCTCCGTGACACGACTGGATGCCATTGGGGAGGCGTTTCCAACTGTCTGGCCGGCGATCATGGGCCGTTGGGGGACCTATTGGCACGTCATGCTCGGACGCCATGGCATGCTGTTGTTCTGTCGGTCTTTGTTGTTGTTGTTTACCCCGTGCCTACTTTGCGACCTATAGATATGCACCTTATGGATAATCCTGGCGTTGAGTTGGGCCAGATCGCTTGCCTACCAATCATCGAAGCCCTGATGGTTGTGGTCGGGGTTTGGAGGGTTTCTCTAGAAAGATGATCTGTCGCATTTCCCGCGATAGTCAGGCCCCAATGATGGAATGACAGTGTATGAGGAGATACTATCTATCTTCTGCGTTGGAGCCGGTTGATGTCTCGATGGGTATCGACAGCAGGTGTCACGGGTAAGCTGCTTTGTTTCAGGAAATAGTTTAGGGGAGCAGCAGCTTGCTTTCCCCATGTACGTCGGATGTATCTACAGGTCGAGTGTGGGAAATCAACTGGACAGAAGGAAATACCAAACAGCCCTAAACCCTTCTAACCTGTGCATCTCCGCTGTTGTCACCTGGTTTACCCGCAGAGCCACAATTGTCTCATCCTCTGTCTTGTCTGCCTTATTTTTCTCCCCATGGGACCAGTACCCGCGAAGTTCTGACTGGTACCTGAAGCGCACCAAAAAATTAACTAATAAAGATAGTAAATTTTTATGTTTGGAGAATTGCGGGAACATCCCGTGACTGCCCACCCGCCTTGGGCGCGCTAACCGAGTCGGGCATCGCGCCGCCATCTACTTCACCCTCCGCCTCACTGCGTATCTACCTAGGCCGTAGCATCTCTCTCTCTCCCTCTCTCTCGCCGTCATTGCGCTCTCTCTCCATCACTCTTCCCCGTCCACCGCCATTTCACTCTGGTACCGGTGCGTAGTATACCTTCTTCTTATTTGTCCATTTTTCTCCTCCAATGTTCCCTTCGTCACATTAACCCCTGCTCGATTCTGGCCCTTTCCACCACACCCCCTCCTCCGGAGTTCCCTCGTGTGTCTTGCTTACGTCTTCCTTCAGGCTTCTACTCCCGAGCTGTGCTCTCTGTATCGCCCGGCCTGAGCCGCCCTTTGCGAGCTGAAATCATCCTTCAGATTGATAATCATTCCTAGTGTGGGCTTGTCCTGCAAGACGACCTGATCGCATACCTTCATCGCCTTCGTTGGGCTCTCGAGCCATGTCTGAATCAACTAGCACAAATACTCCCAAACCGAGTAGCAGCGTCAAGCTGGTACTTTTGGGTGAAGCCGCTGTGGGAAAGGTACGAGCAACCCCGGCACTTTCCTTGCTCTGACCTCCGCGTGGTACCTGAGTAACCAGAGAGAGAAAAAAAGGACTGACAATGAATGCAATGGATGATTGCCCATTATAGTCCTCACTGGTGCTGAGATTTGTCAACAACGATTTCCAAGAGAACAAAGAACCGACTATCGGAGGTAAGCTTCTCCCGGCTGTGGCAGTTACAGATCACTTTTCCGATTTGGGAAGAGACGGAGGGAAAGGAAGAAGGGAATTGTTCCCGGTTTTCCTGATTCCCGAAAGTGGCTGTATCTCCGATGCTGATGTCATTGTCTGTCTATCATAGCTGCATTCCTCACCCAAAAATGCTCTCTGCCTACACGAACGATCAAGTTCGAAATTTGGGATACCGCCGGTCAGGAGCGTTTCGCCTCGCTCGCTCCCATGTACTACCGTAACGCCCAGGCGGCGCTCGTGGTTTATGATGTTACCAAACCGTCCTCTCTCACAAAGGCTAAGCACTGGGTTGCGGAACTCCAGCGACAAGCTAGTCCCGGTATTGTGATCGCTCTCGTTGGTAACAAGCTGGATTTGACAAACGACGGGAACGAGGCGGCCGGGGAGTCGCCCGCTGATGCCGAGGGCGAATCGTCTACGGCCGATGCAGATGAAACCGCCGAAGAACCTCAGGAAGCACAGGATGTCACTTCCGGTGATGCTCGGAAGGTGCCTACACGGGAAGCTAGCGCCTACGCGGAGGAAGAGGGTCTCTTGTTCTTCGAGACCAGTGCCAAGACGGGCACGAATGTCGTGGATGTCTTTACTGCGATCGCCAATGCGATTCCGGAGAGCAGCCTGAAGAGCGGACGAGCAGGTGGCGCTGGCACGGGCCAGACTAGCCTGAACAGCGGTCGTCCGGCCGAAGACTCGCGGGTCAACCTGGGGGAGCGTGGTCCGGCAACTGCAAAGGAAGGGTGTGCCTGCTAATCTCGGATTGTTTTTACAGCGTGCCATGAGATTTTGGTCGTGCTTCTTTCGTTTTTGCAATCGACCTTTTACTGTTCGATACAATGTCAGGTTGATTACATGGTAATATCCTGCGGCAGTGATTCCCCGACCGTCAGGACCAGACTGACATGCGGCTTGATCCATTCTCATTTCCCGGCGTCTCGAGTGTTCTGTTCTGTTCTGCTCTGCTATGGTACTGCACTACTTCTTTATCTTTTTTCCTGTTTGTTTCCAATGACTATGCAGAGAGTTAGTATGGCGATTAAGGGAATGGCAAAGATTTGTACAGAGAACCGGTCAGGTTCATTGCCAGTCAGCCATAGTCATAGAATTCGAATTCTGCGATCCAAATGCAATGTATAATATGAGGATTAACATGATAGCCAAACAAGCATTTCTCGCAATGCTGCATGGTAGTAGTTGGTTAATGGTTGATGATCCGAAAAGGGCAGAAGGGTCACGGGACCAGACATCCCCTAACTAGGCCCAAACGGGACTACGGCCACCCGCTAAGCGAGAGGCCGAGCCTCCGATCCCACAGCCGACCCAAGCGCAAATTGGAGGACGTTCGAGAGATCTCCGTTCAACCACCAACCTCGACAACCAACCTCACGACAGAAGGCAGCATCCGCAGCACAGCCAGCTACCCGTCGCTCGTCTGCAATCATGGCTGCTATCAACAAGATCGCCATCAACTCGCCGTCGAGGCAGAACCCCTCCGAGCTGGAGACCGCGATCGCCGGTGCTCTCTTCGACCTCGAGAGCAACACACAGGACCTGAAGGCCACCCTCAGGCCCCTGCAGTTTGTCTCTGCCCGTGAGGTAAGGATGATCTGGTTTTTTCATTCATAGCCTCCGTCCGTGTACAGATCAGAGAGGGTCGAGAGTTTGGTGTGAATCGCGGAAATTACCAACATACGAGAGACGTTCTGGGAAATATCAAATATCAATGTGGATATTGTGTGTGTGTGCGGTCTGCACCTGGATGGTGTATACGTGTGTGTGTGCTTGGGGATTACACACCACCAGCATTGAGGAAAAGAAGAGAAAAGATGAACACTAATTGGAATCGTTCCCAACAACCAATCGACACTCAACTCTGATCTGCTGCGCGAACTGGGAATTTGAAAAATTCATTTGTTTTATCTCTCGGATTGTGCGCAATTTGATATTGACTCTACTATCACCATAGGTCGAGGTCGGCCACGGCAAGAAGGCAGTCATCATCTTCGTCCCTGTCCCTCTCCTCCAGGGCTTCCACAAGATCCAGCAGCGGTACGATTTTCCACTCCACACCTCCACATGAAACAAAAAAAAAATACACCAACCCCGGAATGTGCCAGCCACATGCCCACAATTACCAGAAGCGTAGCAGCAAAAAGGAAACGACATCCAGAAACCATCATGACTGACTCCCCCTTCTCTAGTCTGACCCGTGAGCTCGAGAAGAAGTTCTCCGACCGCCACGTCCTCTTCGTTGCTCAGCGCCGCATCCTGCCCCGCCCCAAGCGCTCCGCCAGCTCTCGTTCCAACCAGAAGCAGAAGCGTCCCCGTTCCCGCACTCTGACTGCTGTCCACGACGCCATCCTCACCGACCTCGTCTACCCCGTCGAGATCGTCGGCAAGCGTACCCGCACCAAGGAGGACGGTTCCAAGACCCTCAAGGTCATCCTGGACGAGAAGGAGCGTGGTGGTGTTGACCACCGCCTTGATGCCTACGGCGAGGTCTACCGTCGGTTGACTGGCCGTGCTGTTGTCTTTGAATTCCCCCAGGGTGGTGCCGACTACTAGAGAGTGAAAAAAAAGGAATCAAATTTTTTTTCCTCTTTTTTTTTCCTTTTTTAATTTGACAAGTGACAAATGTGACAAGACAAGAGACTAAAATTTGATTTGACCTTCTTACCTCAATTCTTCTTCTTACTCCGTGTCCTATTCTCTCTCCCATCTTTCTTGCCGTTTCTTCCATATTTTTCTTTTTTCTTTCTTTTTTTTACTCGTCGATTCCCCTCCAAGAAAATCACGTACCATATATTGCACGTGGGCTCGGGGGGCATGCAGAAAACATTAAACTACGATCTCCCCCATTCCCCCATAACCACCCCCGTTTTGTTTTACTGCATGTTCCCCCAACCCACACACACACCCACCCCAGCCGTCAGTTAGACACCATCTTGCTTGCGGCTCTTTTGTGGGGTTGAGGATTGAGACAGTGAGGTTCTGGTCAGGTATCTATCTATCTTTCTTTTCTTTCGCTCTCGGTCGGTTGGTTGGTTTGGTTCCGGTTCATGGTATATGTGTTTGTTTTGGGTGGGATTCGGGGCCAAAAAAAAAGAAAAGAAAAAAGAAAACCGGGTATTAAGGGATTGAGGGTTTGAAAAAAGGAAAGTCAAGTCTATGTCGGTCTTGAGTTCATTTGTTCATTTTGTCATGTTATTTTCAAAATGAAAAAGGGGTTGCTAGGGTAGCTAGCTAGCTATAGGGCTAGGGGAATTGCCTGGAAAAGAAAATGCATTGTGTTGTCGAGTGTATGATCTTTGACTTTCATTCTTTTGAGTGTGTACTAGGTGGTGGGTTGGGTAGAAACTGAATATGTTGTAGTTGGATTGGTAGCGGTAGTAGTAGCTTGTGACTATTAGTAAAACTTATTGAAGTAATTGGGCTCATGAGTCTTGTTGCTAGGTGAAGAGTTGGTACTACAGTACTAATGAGGCTAAGCCTTATACTACTACTATTGTGGGTTCGTTATATGTCAACTACTAGTAGTAGCCATCATATTATAGGGCGTGAACTACTAATTACTATACCCACCAGCATGTGATGCTATTAACTGCTCTGGACTCAAGAATGAGAAAGATGCGATATATGTATATCTAGTAGAAAAGGAAACAAGGTATCACCAACATCCATCAATCATCACATCTATACACAAACCAACATCAGAACTAAACATCCATGCATCTATCTACACAATCTCCCTCACTATCCTCCCCACCCCCAACACCATCCAATACGCCAACTCCCTCTTCACCGTATCACTTCCACCCGCTCCAGCCCTCCCAACCCCCTGCTCACTATCAATCTGATTATCCGAATCCCATTCCATATGCACAAACACCGGGATCTCCAACACATCTTCATCCGGCTGTAGCTGCTCATTGGGGTCAGATGTCTGTCCACTCCAGTCAAATCCCGGGTCGGAGTCGGAGTCACCATCGTCAGAGTTGTCATCCTGGTCGTCTGGATCATCATCGGCGGGAGCCTTCTTCTTTTTCTTGTCTTTCTTGGTATTGTTGGCGGAGGTTTGTTTCGCACCACCAGGTAATGTCCCCGGTACGACCTCCAACACCACGGTGGTCCAGTTCCGTCCCTTGTCCCAGACTTTGCCGGCCTCTGCGACTTTCTCGTACACGCCGAGCCCTCCGGATCGGGATCCGCGGGGGTCAGTTCCCGTGGATGTAGCCGTGGTAGTGGTAGCCGAAGTACCCTGGAGGGCTTCGTCCCACACGTCGCTGTTGGCGCCAATGTCGAATTGCGGACAGAGGATAGTTACTTTGGAGGCCACGCGGCCAGGGGTGACGGATGGCGTGGCGAGTGTGACGCGGACGGGATCGAACATGTGATTCTTTAGCGTGAGGAGGAGTTGGATGGGTCGGAGTGGGGAGAGAGCGTCCAGGTTCGGGTTCGTCGTGGAACTTGAAGGCGCCGGGAGAACGGTGGTGGTCGTGGTGGTGGCTGGGGAGGGACTGGGGTTCAGCGGCCGTAACGTCGGCAGGGGAATGTAGCTGAGGGCAATCAGGCGGATGCGGAACCGCGTGGACTGCGGTTTCAGTTCGGGTTTGACGAGGATGTGCTTGCACGACTTGCATCGTTTGGACCGTTTTGTGCGAAGTAGCACGGGCAGCGGGAGGAGGTCCTCTACGAACCGGGCGTCTGGGGACTGGAAGACGCGTTGTTCGATAGAGGCGAGACCGTCCCATCCGCAGTCCGGGGAAGACATGCGTTCGATGAGTGTGTCTTCGGCGTCCGGGGAGGGGATCTTGAGACCCTCGCTGGCCGTGAGGGCTTCTCGCATGACGGGCGGTTTGGTTTTGGGCTTCTTGTTGGCTCCGCCGTAGAGGCTGCTGAGGCGGGAGGAAGAGGTGTAAAGGGACATGATGCGGTTTAGGGCACCGGGAGAGGAGAAACCAGAGCCGAAGTCCATGCCTAGGGGGTCGGTGGGGGAGGAGGATGTCGCGGAGATCTGGTTCTTATAAAAGTTCTTGAGGGCGTGGAATCGAGCATCTGGAGTGAGAGGAGCACTGGGTTGGTCCAGAGGGGGGTCTTCGGGCTTGGTCTCGCCTGGTGGTAGGAATTGCTCATCGATGGAGGAGTAAGTGGAGAGGGGAGACTTGAGGTCCCCGAATGTCCGAGACATTTGTCTCGAGCGAGCAGGAGTGACTTCGGTCATCTTGGACAGTTGAGTCCGGATGTTGGTCGGTTTATCAAACTTGATGCCAATATCCAGAGTCGACCACATGCAGTATCCGCAGGACAACACCCAGGGGCCTTGTTGACTGGTGCCGCCTGTCACGACGTTCTCAAGGGTGTTTACACCCAAGGGGGCGGTGCATATCGGGCAGTTGAAGCAATTGCGAGCGCATCTAGCATTCACCGCATTAGCATACACCTATAAAAGCTTGAGGCTTGTACATCCTGCTCAACGTACCGATTCCCCTCACTCCGGACCATGCTGCTGGGCGTCTCGAACAGGCAGTTCGGACAGTACCAGCACACAATCTCCTCCGTTATGCATCGCGGGCACTTGATCTGATGGCAATCCTCGCAGTACAGCAGCTGCTCCGGGGGATACAGAGAGAAATTGGCGCGCGGAGACCGAGGATCAAAAGCCTGTTCGTCTTCGTCGTCATCCGGGCGCAGGAGAGATTTGGGTTGATCGGGGTTGGATTTCTGCGGCGACTCCCTCGATCTCCGTTTCTTCGCCGGATCAGGTACAGGGATGTTGGCGCAAGGACAAGATATAAAGGTGTAAGGGAACGGACGTGACATGTTGAAGAGTTCAATCAAGATATTGCTTATTGCATTCTAGGCGCATCATCAATAATCAGTATAAAAGCCCGAAAACAACATCAGGGGGAAGTAGGAAGCACCATACCTAAAGCACTGATAAATAAAATCACACAGAACGGTTCAAATAGATAACTCACTGTAATTTGCTTCCAACATACCCATAAGACCCATCACACATTAAGAAATTGCAGAGAGAACAGCCCCGCGACAAGAGGACGCGACGTGGCGGGAGAAAATGCGGAGATGGAATGGATTTCTCGCCGACGTCACGTTCCGCTGCTGCTGAGCTACCTCCAATTCTTTTTTCCCTTTCCTCTAAACCCCTTCTCCCTCCTCTCAATTCCAGCAAACCAACCCCAATTCATAACCCAGAGACCCTCAAAATGTCTCTGTCTCACATATTTCGACCAGCACTGCGCTCCCCGCGCATCTACACCAAACGCACACCCACCTACACATTATCATCATCATCAGCATCATCATGTCCATCACGCCGCACCTACGCCAGCCAAACACCCGGCAACCCAGTCATGGAAATCTTCAATCGCAAAACCAAGCACATGCAGAAGGACCGCGCAGCCCGCAATGTCGAGGAGAGTCGCAAGACCGACTACATCAAGGACGAAGTAGCCATGCGGCTATGTGAACGGTTGCTGGTATGCCCTCCACAGCACCACCTACAGATAGAGATAAAACATACTGAATGGAAAATGAAAATGAAAATAGGACATCAAACGCACCTTCCCCCAAGTCCTCGATCTCGGCGCCAACAGCTGCAACATCGCCCGCGCTCTCACAATGCCCGATCCAGACCCCGACGCTCCCAACGGCAGCTCCCCACCCCTCAGCACTCGCATCGGGGAATTAACCTGCATCGACACCTCCGAGGCCCTTCTCTACCGCGACGCAGACGAACCCTTCAACGACCAGATCTCTCTAAAGCGGCAAATTGTGCCTGATCTCGAATCCCTCCCCTTCCCGGAGAACTCCTTTGACGCGGTGCTCTCCTCGCTCTCGATTCACTGGATCAATGATCTGCCTTCGCTGCTGGCGCAGGTCAACTCTATCCTCAAGCCGGACTGTCCGTTCATTGCGGCGATGTTCGGCGGGGATACGTTGTTCGAGCTGCGGACGTCATTGCAGTTGGCGGATTTGGAGCGGCGTGGGGGTGTCAGTCCGCATGTGTCGCCGTTGGCGGATGTGAGGGATGTTGGGGGATTGTTGAATAAGGCGGGCTTCAAGATGTTGACGGTGGATGTGGAGGACATTGTGGTGGAGTATCCGGATACGTTTGCGTTGATGGGTGATTTGCAGGCGATGGGGGAGAATAATGCCATCTTGCATCGGGAGTTGGGGCCCATGTCGAGAGATGTGTTGTTGGCGAATGAAGCGATTTATCGTGAGTTGCATAAGGAGGAGGGGTCTAGGGGAGTGCCGGCGACGTTTCGGTTGATTTATATGATTGGGTGGAAGGAGGGTGAAGGTCAGGCGAAGCCGTTGGAGAGAGGGAGTGGACAGTTGAATCTGAAGGATTTGTTGGGAGGTGGTTCCATTGGTAATTGATCATGATTTTAGTGGAATCGGTTCATGTATAGTATAGAATATTGTGCTTGTATAATATTGACGAGGAAAGGGAAAAAAAAATCAATAAAAAGGCACATCTAGGATATCATCCTGACGAAGAACATGAGTACACAAAACACACATACACACACACACCTCCATCTTCAACATACAACAGCCCAGATCAAAACACAACAAGAATCATGCAATTTAAACAGTCCTCCGATCCGTCATGACCCTAACAATCGACCCCGTCCCCGCAACCTCCACCAACTTCTCATGCCAGTTCAACAACACACTCATCTGCTGTCCACCACCTCCCTCACCCAGATTGCGGGCCTGAATCTGCGAGAATCCCGTACTCTGCGGCGACATGCGAGGCGACTGTGCCGCGCTACTGGGAGCTGGCGCCGCCATGCCCTTGTACCTATACACAACAAGGATTCATTTAGTATACACATCCACAACCACCCCTTGGTGATGATGACATAGGAAAGTGAAGTGAAGGGGGAACCATACAAATACTTCATCAAAGAATCCGCTCTCTCCGACCCACCCTCACCGGTACACACAGACTCCAGCACGCGACTCATCTCTCCCTGACGAATACCCTGCAAGACCTCCACGACAGCGGCCAAATGCACCTCCTTTGCGCGGTCATCGCCACCCAGCGGCGCCGTCTCGAGCACGTACCGTAGAGCTCCCTCGTTGTCGCCGCTGCGGAGGAGCTGGCGCACCTGGTTTACGACGGAGGCGGCGGCACCGGAGGTCGTCGGGGCGGGGAGAGTGGGTGGGAGGAGAGTCTCCATGGGGAAGTTGATCGAGGACTCGGGGTCCAGGACATCGATGTTGATTGTGCGGTAGTTGAGTTGGGCCATTGTTGCGGTTGCTGTGCTGGAGGTTTAGGAATGGGGGTGTAGTATATTGAGTTGGGCTTGTTGAGTTGTCAATTGGGAACGTATGTAGCTAGTAGTAGGTTCCCTGGTTAGCGATTGTGGTGGGTTGAAGCTGGAGTTGGGTGATAGGTAGGCAGCGTCATTACCAGGTGTCCGCGGGGAAAGGAGATGACGGAGGTGGTCAGGTAGAGAGATGCGATGGGTTGCTAGGAGGGGATGGGTGTGGTGTTCCTAGCGAGACAGTTGGGTGCAGCCTTACTGTGCTTGACTGAGACGGATTGACAATGTGGATTGGAACGGACAAAAGGAATCAGGAGCTTCTGGAGAAGATGGTGGTGATGAATGAGGGTGAAGTGGCGGCGGAGTGCGAGAGTCGCTGCGGAGTGCGGGCCGGCGGGCCTGAGGCAACCCCTGTCAGGGTCAGGACTAGATAATTCAATAACAACCATTTCAACGTACGTTTTAATTAAGAGGGAGGAATCGATATTATCACAATTAGGTATGATTGTTTTTGAAATATATAGACACTTCGCTGGGGATTATATTTATCTAATGTACATATACTGCTTGTTTCGAATCTAACAAAAAGCCACCAACTCCATGCACTATCTGCATACCAACGCATGCTTAATCGCTGTACACCCATATATACAGAAGCTCGAAACCCGCTAATTAAACATCATACAAATCATCAAGAAGTCGTAATAGTAATTGGAGGCACCGGAATTGATGTAACAGGCGCCTCCGGCGTCGGCTCTCTCTTCAACTCATGCAACGACGCCCTTCCTGCCTCCTCGTCGGGCAAGGCATCAGTGCTGGTGTCCTGCTCTTCCTTCCCACCACGCTTCACAACACGCTGGGCTGTTCTTTTGACTGGCCGCAGACAAGAGCGAATCATGGCTGCAAAATAACCCATAGCCCGGCCGATAGGCTTGATAATAAAGTTCATGCATCGGACGACAAAGTTAAGAGCAACCTCGCATGGCCCATCGGGGACCGTACGGAGAACAACCGCCCACGGGAGGCAGCCAAGCGCACAGATAATGCAAATGGCCCATTGGATGCCATTGAGACGGGTCACGCCAAAAGCCTCTCCTCCCACGAAGATAATCATGATTTGACCGCCGACCATGATGCAGTTGATTCCCAGGAACCAGTAGTTGCGGAACATGCCTTCGAAGATATTGAATTTGTTGTCCAGGCGTCGGTTGTTGAATTCATTGAAAATCTGCATCCACACAAAGGTATTGAACACAATAGTGTTGAGCACCGTCTGCGGGTCGTCGGTTCCAAGTCGCGATCCTATAATCTGGTTTCCACCAAAGTAGAGCATAAAGGTGATGGCCAGCTGATAGAGAGCTTGGCCGAGAATCATCTTCCACATGATCACTGTGAATAGTGATGCGCTCTTGGGGACAGGTTTGCGGTTAAGAATCTTCTCCGTTGGTGCGTCAGTCGCTAAGGCAAGAGCTGCAAAAGTGTCCATGATCAAGTTGACCCAGAGCAGCTGCACCGCGTTCAGAACGCTCTTGTTCTCACTGCTGTACAAGGACGAAACAAAGGTCAAGACCACAGCTGTGATGTTGACCGTGATCTGGAACTGAAGGAACTTGGCAACAGCATCGTTGACAGCCCGGCCCCATGCAATGGCGGTGACAATGGACTTGAAATTGTCGTCTAGAAGGATGATCGAACTGGCTTCCTTCGCGACTTCTGTTCCAGCAATTCCCATGGAGAAGCCGACATCAGCTGTTCTCAAGGCTGGCCCATCGTTAGTGCCATCACCGGTGACGGCGACAGTCTCGCCTAGCTTCTTGAGCCGTGCCACCAGAATCCGCTTATCCTCTGGTGACGAGCGAGCTAGCACTTGCAGACGAGGAATGACTCGATCCATTTCCTCGTCAGAGAGCTGGCGAAACTTGGGACCTTCCATGACAATACCATCCTCTGTCTTGATACCACATGAAGAAGCTATCGCACTAGCGGTTACAATGTTGTCACCAGTGACCATCTTCACCTGTACACCTGCCGCATGACACTTTTGGATGGCAGCGGGCACTTCGGGTCGGAGAGGATCCTGGATGCCCACAACCCCGATCCAGGTCATGTCGCGGAAAACATCCTCAAATCTGGCAGATTCCGGATCATCTTCCAAGCACCGGGCGTCTTTCGGCGGCCAGCTTGGGAAGTCGCGGTACACTAGTCCGATCGTCCGTAGGGACTGACCTGCGTAAGCTTCGACCGTGTTTAGGATGAACTGTCGGTTTCCCTCGTTCAAGGCATCGATGGAGATATGACCATGGGAAGGGTCTGCCTCGACCATCTGAGTCGTGCATGAGCCAACCATTATCTCAGCAGCGCCCTTGACAAGGAGGCGATAACCCAGCGTAGGTTCCCGGTAGACAACCCCCATGCACTTACGTGCAGAGTCGAAGGGGATCAATTGGACAATGTCCGCAGAGGCACGCTCTGCAGTAACGTCCAGGCCGAGATGATCTTTGGCCATCTGCAGCAGAGCCACCTCGGTCTTACTGCCGATGAACTCCTTTGACCCACCCTTCTCTTCCTCGAAAGCAGTAGAGTTCAAGGCGATGCTATGAAGGATGAGGTCCCGTTGCTTGCCTGAATATTGCTTGAAAAATTCAGCAGGAGTTGAGACGTCAGATGAGCGTTCCTCGCCTGGGGTATGCTTGAAACTCTTCGAGCCCAAGGTCCCTGCCACAACAGTCATCTTGTTCTGGGTAAGGGTCCCGGTCTTGTCGGAGCAGATAACTGTTGCATTTCCCATTGTCTCACAGGCACGGAGGACGCGCACAAGGTTGTTCTCCTTGACCATTCGGGTCGTGGCAAATGCCAGTGCCAAAGTGACAGCAAGCGGCAGACCCTCTATGGATGTCAGTCAGTAAAAGTCATTAATCTAGCATGGAGAGACTACTAACCAGGAATCGCAACGACAATGACGGTAACAGCAACAATGAGGATGTCGACGAACTCCTTTCCCTTGGCCGCAGGCGTTCCAGTGTTATGGGATAGATCCGCCACGAACCTGAAGAACAGAGCGAAGAACAAGATAATCGCAGCACTAGAAGCAGTTAGCAAACAAAACCATGTGAATACAAAGGAGGGTCGCCCTTACCCTGAGCCTAGCCAGCCGATCCAATTAGCAAGTCGGCCCAGTTTGACTTGAAGAGGTGTTGGATCATTCGATTCTTGCAAAGACAGTAGGATCCGGCCGTAGGTTGAGTACGGCCCGACACTCGTGACTAGATAGGTGCCAACACCTTCGAGCACCTTGCTCCCAGAGATCATGAACGGGTCGAGCTTCTTCGTAGCCTTCCCATTGGTGATCAATCGGCCGACTTCATGTCCATCAGTCTTCTTCATCTGGTCAGATTCTCCTGTAGCGGAGGACTCGTCACATTTGATGCCGTGACCCGAGACGAGAACCCCATCCGCAGGAATGGCGTCGCCCGGCTCGACATGAAGAATGTCACCGACTGTGATGTCGTGTATCGATATCATGGAGACCTTGCCAGATCGAACAGCCTTGACTTCTCGGTCGTTGTTCTGAAGAAGTCAGTGGTGGTCTTCGTTTATAACAGAAGAAAGGTAAGCACTTACACGTTTATTCAGCTTAGCAAACTGTCTTTCCTTCTGCCAGTCATTTGCAGCAGTCACAATAGTGACTATCAGAATAGCCACACAAATCGCCACTCCTTCAATCCAATCCACACCACTACCTTCGCTGGTAGTCTCATAGATACCAAGGGACAGCGACACGATAGCAGCTATCGTCAACAAAATGATGATCTTGTCGTTGTAGGCTTGCCAAAACAGCTTCAAGAATCCCGTTGACTTCCGAGCCGGCAGTCTGTTCTGACAGAACACGCTTATGCGGTCTTGGAATTGCGTACCGGACTCTGTAATCGGGGCGTCAATGTTTGGAGGAGCGGTTTCTTTGAAAGAGGCATAGTCAGGGGAAGTCGCTTCCGAAAAACTGATCGAACCCGCCAAGAGAGTCTCATCGACTGACAGACCAGATGTCAGGTCTGTCCGCAGCCCTCGTTCCAATCCCTGCATGCCTCCAAGTGCCTGGAACGCAGCCAAAGATTTAGGATTTTGCATCTTGTTCAATTGTCCTGGAGAGAAGGCGAACTTATTGTCTGGCACTATGAAGTCCTGTTCGTTTCGAGGGTCGGGATTCAAGGCATCGGCCACCGAAACATCATCGTACTCCATCTTGGTCGGGGCATTAGTGGCTTCAGAGTTGGCTCTCGACCTTACGGCTGTATCTGCACTGGAGATGGTAGAGTCTGCTCGCGGCCGTAACGTCTCACCGTCCAGCGACTGAGCCGACGTCCGCGTGTCACTCCGTACCCTGAGCCTGTCTGGCGATAGAGTGGACGCCATGTCCGCGGGTGAAGAAGATCGAATAGATGATACGCTTGTTCGTATTGCGTCGGATGATATAGGGTGCTGCTGTTGGTAAGCGTATGAATATATGGCTCTCTCATTAAGCCCTAGCGCTGTTGAACATACCTCTCTATCTGAAACCCCGAAAGGGTTCAAGAAGCCAGACTGAGGATGCTCGTCTGGGGTCTGCATTGATGCGACCGGAACGAGATCTGATTTGGTAGAGACAAAGAAACGGGCATAAATCCTGGTAAATGCAGTATCAATTTCAGTGTGTTGCACCTGCTACTGTTTGGTTCTGTGCCCGAGCGACACCCGTTATTAGTAGATCTGGTCTGGGGGCTGTGCTTCCGAAAAGGGTAGCCTAAAATTTAATAGTCTGATTATCTCATAACGGATTTCTTCGTATCAATTCTCATGTCTGGTTCGTATCATCCGTGGCACTGAGAAGAGATATTGTAACGCCAAGGGTATTCCCAACAAGCACGGGATGAAAATAAGGAAGCGGTTGCAAGGTCCGAGGAAGAGGCTAGCAAGAGTCCGGCTTTTGCCATACGCCAAAACAACCATGAAGTGTGAGTGAGTTGAGTTGACCCATATGCTTGGTAGCATCACAACGCGCTGCACAGCCTCCTTCAATCCGTCCTATCACCGACGGCGTAGACCAAGGGGTGGAGAGAGGTATGACCCATGGCTGCAACTAACGAGCGGGGGTATATACCCAAAGCGCTTTATCTTAAAGTTGAAGACGCCATGACACCTCCACTCTACCAAAGCAAGTTATATTACTCAATCTAGACGCCGACGGAGCTCCTGTTCATCTCCAGCGTACTCTTATCTCTCCTATGAGAACGAGAAGCAACCAGGAGGGGGCAGAATTAGAATCGGAGGGTCCCTACCTCCGATCACAAGCCTGCAATCACATTTCATCAACTGTATCGAGGCGCGCGCAAAACCATGGACAAATGACGCATGCTGAACTCTGAGTGGAGCGTTGCAATCAACGCATACTCAAAAACCCTTCCAGATGGAAATGCCGAGAGAAAAGTGGCCCTTGGAAGTTGCCGCCGGGTGAGGTATAGTTCCAGCAAATGAGTTTCTAGCGGGCGGCTGCGCCTCCTTCGTTTAGTTCGGAAGTCAGACGATTAGTCGGTCAATGAGGAGTCACGACATGCAGTTGCCGCCAATGAATTTTAGTTGCGTTCCAGATTTCCTAGTGCGCATCAGTGATCCGGCCTTTCATTCGCCTTGAGTATTCAAACACGTTGACTCTATCCTGAGGAATGTTTGTTTGTCCATCTTCCCCTTGTTGCACGGCCACATCTCCTGCGCCACATCTCCCAAGGATTGTTCCTATTCGCCTCTTCAAGTTGGTTTCGCCCCCCTTGTGGCTGAGGAAATCACCAAGATCCTGGAAAATAAGATTATCTGATGTGGCGTCATGACTTCAACTAGCTGAGGCATTGTACATGACGAATGGCTTTTGGGTGCGGCGATTAATTCATGCTGGTGCTGCGAGCTGTCTCGGATGCGGAGATTGGATGCTCTGATCAGGCACTGCGGGTGTGGCTGGTGAGTGTCTAGGCTCTGCTGAGTGGACTTGACGATGGCAAATTTTGCGTCTTGCCAGCTGAGTTGAACGATTTGAGTGAGGCTTAGAAGCTTGATCTGTCGGTTGATGGGGGAATAACACCCATGGAAGCAACAAAGCTGCGTTCTGGTGGGATGAGATGAGATGAAGGTGGGTAAGTTGTTGTTAGCAGGCAGCAGCACAATTATTCAACATGGACAAACTGCCCGAATCAGCCTCGCCAATCATACATACGTCTGGTATTTTCATCGTTATTCAGGTATTATTCGCTCTAGTTGCTATACATTCACTAATAATTATGTGTGTTAATTTCATACCGTATAGTAAGTTAACATACAGCATCAATGTCTCTCTAAAGGCACATATTCATCATCATCGTGACCCATTCTCAGGAGTATACTCCGCAGTGAGGAGGTAAATGCAGTACTACAGCCTCCACAGACAGCCTCGAATCTTATTCTCGTGTTCAATCATTGCCTCGGCTTATTCGTCCACGTTAGCAAGCTCAGCATACCGATTCCCCAAACCGCAAAAGCATTGCTTGGATCGTTCAGACCCCGTATCCTCTGATCCTTTTCTACCCAACACATCCTCCATCGCCCAGGCAATTCGCTCCGCGCCCAGCCTCGCTCCCTCAAGATTGGCAGCACCGGGTCCCAAACGAAGAGACCCCAGCCGGCCCGTCAAGAAAAGTGGCACATTTGATTGCCACATCAGGTCATCCGTGATGCAAGGCAATCCCTGCTTAGTTTCAATCGGATACTCACGGTTCATGCGTTGGAGCAATGGGAGCTCATTCACATCGGCTTGCATGCCTGTTGCAAAATATATATAATCGATGCGAGGAAGGTCAGGGATCGGAGGATCTGTCGTAAGACGCCATGTGCGCGAGGAGGCGCAGTACTCCTTGCCGCAGATGACGGTGCGTGGGTGTATAGAAAGCCGATGGGCTGCCACATGTTGCTTCAGAATCTTCTGATACCGTGGCGTGATACTGCCGCCATTACGCGCGGCTTTGATCATCTCAAGGCGTTCCTCGTCCGTGTCTGCGGACCAGAATGCTGCCTTTTCGAAGTTCTTGAACTTGCCCATCCAGTTCAATGCGAGGTCGAAGTGCTTGACTAGAAACCATCTGGTCAGCATCCCCCACGTCTGAGTTTGGATGGATGATGTAGGAGGCTGTGCAACCTGCCCACTACCTGTCTAGTACGTACCTTTAAAATCCGACCTCAAAAGAAACCAAACCTTGGTCACCCCTCGCCGAATGGCCATATCCACCACCTGCGCTGACGATAGCCCACCCCCAACAACCACCACATTCGTCTCCTGACGCTGCTTAATCTTGGCCTTCACATTGATACTCGGAAACATGCGAATCTCCGTGCTATGACAAGCCCCTTTCTCTTCCTCACCCGTCAGCTTGAACGGCAGTATCTTCGTCCTCCCCGGCCCAATAGCCAGCACCACCACACGACTATAGAACCGACTTCCCTCCGCCGTAGTAACAGTGAAGATCTTGTCCGACGGCGATAACTCAGAGCGATAGTCGTACGATATATCATTGACTTCGCACTGCCTGATCATTCCCGGCGCGTCCAGTCCATACCGCGATACAATGCTCCCGCAGTAATCTTCAAACAAGTCCGTCGACGGTGAGAAGTAATCTTTACGATCTCTTTCATCAATCTCGACCTCGCCAACAGCCCTGATCACCCACACAATTAGCAAATCGAACACAAAATTATTAATCACATCATATAAGGAACAACTCACTGCGCCCTCGACCTCATCTTCTTCTTCTTATGCTTACTCAACTCCTTCCCCACGCACCCCGAAATCTCCCATAAATCCCTCTCCCTCCTCACCTCCCTCGTATACGCCAACATACCATCTCGATCCCTGGGATCTACATGAAAGAACATCGGGCTGCGCAGCTGCTCAATCTCCAATGTCTTGAACGCCCGATTCCATCTCTCCATCCACTTGTCCCCGGAACTATCCAGTACGAGCGTAGATATGCCCCCATTCCCATTCCCATTCCCATTCTGATTCTTATCACCCCACCTCCCCATATAAACCCCATCATCCGACGAAACTGACGAAGACAACGACGGCGGAGAAGAATCAGAACCGGAAGACGAAGACGAAGATGACCCCCGTCTAGGATAATGCTCATCATTATATCTCTGCCACTTCTCCGCCTTTACGCCCTTAAGTTTCCCGCGGTGCGCCTGCACCAGTGCCATTCGGCCACTATGTTTGTTGATCCAGTGGTAGCGTTGGTGTTCGTCGTCGGTGAACATGGCGGAGGGGGTTTCTTCGCGGAGCCGTGCGGCGACCGCTAGGCCGCAGGGGCCGGCGCCGATGATGAGGACATCGAGGATGTCTGGGAAGGAGGAGGAGGAGGATGATTGTGGTGAGGTGGTTTTGCCTACCATGTTTGGTTGGTGTGTAGTATGTATGTATGTATGGTGGAGGTGAAGGCTTCGTAGGTAGTAAGTGCGATATAGTAGAGTAGGGCTATTGCTTGAGTGATTGATTGAATGATTGTTCAAATATGTGCATGCAGGGTTTATATTCAATAAATAGATGACAGGTGATATATGGTGGTGGTGCTCATCACTCCCCCGGGTACTTGGATCCCCAAGGTCCTTGTCGCCCAAAAGGGAAAGTCGGGATCACCATTATTGATAATGTGCTTGAAGTTTGGCGGATGGGTTTGGGGACCTTGGAGGTGATTTCAGAGCATGATTGCTACTAGTTATGCTAGGGTTTATGTCACTGTGAGTGAGGTTTGACGCTATTGATTAATGGTTCTGTGTTGGCCTACTATACTGTGAAAGCGTCCTCGGTTGGCATATGGAAAGACATTACATTACTATAAGACAAAAGCTATATAACAACAAACATAATTAGTAGCAGCAGTGAGAAACCTGTCTCCGCTAAGATCAACGTATATTATTTGTGCCACTTTTTGGGTCTGGGTTCCGTCGTCATTGCTCGGGAACGAGGAGCTCCTCCACCTTCTCGACGATGCCAGGCATCCTGGGGCCACACCCAGCCTCGCACTCGCTTCGCATCACGACGCTCCCCAATCTGGGGCTCCGGGATCCATTTGTCTTTCTTTTCTGGTAGGATGCGCTGCCGGGTCAGGGCACCTGGGCCTCCCACGTTGAGATGGGCAGACGGTTGTGACGGCAAGGGAACCGATTTAGAAAGCATTAGTAAAAAGTACAAAGCTAGACTGGCGGTCATTGGCACGTCCAGCTCATCGGAATCCGAAATCGTATAGCTATCCAGTATGGGCGACTGGCTCGCCAAAGAACTGTCGCTGGATGGAGTGGGCGAATGCGGATAGCCATAATCACTGGTATATGGCTCCGAGCTGTGCCCACGCTGGTTGATCGCGAGCTTGGTTGGAATTGGCGCAGACAGCTCCAGGAAACCAAAGTAGGGCACATCGTCGCCCTCGTCACAACCTGCTCGTACACACACGAGCTCGATCTCGGTGAGAATGAAGCCGTAGCGGCAAGAGTGCTCGCGCATGCATCGCTGCAGGTGTGCTAGACCGTTCAGATACTCCACCCTGCGGTGAGGCGCTTCGTTGCGCATCCCCGTGTTCCAGCGGTCGAAGGTCTTGACAATACCAACGAGTCGTCCTCTGGCAAGGCCTGAGGCGGTTCGTTCGGTGTCAGACGCATAGTTAGCGAGAAAATGTGGCCCGCCATAGTTCTTGTTAGGTGACCCTCGCGGAATAGGAACAGCGTAGAGGGACAAGTGATCCGGGCCTTGCGAGACTGCCAAGGCAGCATTGATACGAGGTGCATAGATGTCTCGGATGACGTTGACTAGAGCTGACTCGCAATCTGGGGACAAATAAGAGCTCGGAAGGATATTGAGGGGCGTAAGATGCGAAGGAATCGCAGTTTTGAGGAGTTTTGGAAGTCCACTGATAGAGTTGAACGTGGATAGAGAAAACGAAGTCCAACTGCGCAAGTTCCGAATGTCCCACCAAAAGTAATCGTGCAAGCCTCGTGTCGGAATCACGTTCACGTTGCGCACGAGGTTGATTGCTTGTGTCGGGGTGGTAAGGTACGAGAGCAAGGTGGTTGACTGAGAGTTCGTCCTCTCGGTCTGGTGAACAATGCCGATGGGAGAGCATTGTGCACTCGACGCTCGCACATACCCATATGGTGAGCCGGGAAGCATGAGTGGCACCTGCACCGGAGGGTACACTTTGGGATAGTATGGCTCGGCTGGCGAGTGAGGCGCATAAGGCGGATACACTATTATATTGGGTGTGGCGGGCGTAGCCGGTGTGGTAGGGGAACTCTGAGGTTGAGAGGCGTATCTGATGACCTGTCGATATGCTGGATATCCGCATCGACTTGTCCTTGGATCCTCAACGTTGGAGGCAGAGACTGATCGAGTGTGCGCGCTCGTCGCCTTGCGCTTCTGCGCCGGTGTGACGCTCACAGGAGATGATAATGACGAGCCATTGCGAGTGGTATACTTCGGCGACGCCACGGCTGGGGATGCCATAGGAATGCACCCTGAGGTCTCAACAGCAACCCGATGGCTTGACCGGCGGTTGGAAGCAAGCGGTAAAGAACCAGGAGGATTGCGTGTGTTTGACAGCACCCGCCGTTGACGTTGGGATCCACTGGCGGGTGGAGGTTCAATCACAATGTCTTGAGGTCTGATCTTCGGAAGAAGAGTAGGCCCATGGTGGTGTTGCGGGGGTGAGTCAACTACAGGGCTGGTAGCCGACGTGATGACGGACCAGGGCGACGAGTTGTTGGAGTAAACAGAAGAATCAGAAGCGTTGCGGCTATGCCCCGTTCCACTATATTCTTGCAGATGCAATGCAGGAGGGGTTGAGGGACGATAATAAGAGTACTCCACAGACATCTTGCTATATAAAGTCACCGCAGGTCTGAGACAATGTAGATCAAACAAGATTGCGGGAAAGTCCAGCTCCCAAGAGGTATCAAACAGGAAATGCTCGCGTAAGAAGCTAAGGTCAAATGAATAGAGAAGAAAGAGATGCACTAGGCAAAAGAAGAGACAATGTTGTCGAGTTCGCTTTGTCTTGGTGAACGACTTGACTGAACTGAGGCATAACCAGACTGGAGAACCGTTGGTTATTAAATGTTCTTCAATCTGGAACCTATGAGTCCCTTGATCCAAAAAAAGATACAGAATCAATCGAACTGCCTGCAGGGGCATGAAACAGATCTGGCTCCATTGCGACAGCCAGTCGCTAACCATACTAGGTAATCATGATGGAGATGGTAGGGCCATCGACACAGGGATGTCGATATCTGCTTGGATGATGTGCAGAGCAAACGATCCTAGGGCAAGCGAAAGCGTTTCATCGACAGTCGCGCGTCAAAAAGTTTCTATATTTGACATATTCTTCACTTCTTCAGATCTGAACCAGGCTGTCGGTAGTCTATTCCGACGATGGTTCGTTCGGAATCTGCATAGGATCTATATTGGGTAACATTGAGTGTTTCGTCTATTCTGGGTAATGTAACTAGGATCGATGAGTTCCCGCAAAGGCGTCACGCCTGGGGCATCTATTAGTCGGCGGCAAGCAGGTGTTTGACGTCAAAAAAATAAAACGCAAGTGACTGGTACATTTCCACGGCGTGTAGTGCTTGAGGGTGTGCCGTTGTAGAGTTAGCCGCCGAGGTTTGATACCAGGGCCTGGGGGAGCCGCAGCCCACTCAACGGGCATTGGCTATTGCAGTCGAAGCTTGCAGAATGAAGTCGAATACTAATCAACTGATACGATACTCTCAAGCCCAAGAGGTTCTAAGAATATCCCCGCCTGTATGTGTCGATAAATCAGAGGTCTTGCAGGTCGTCACAGTAGGCGCCGGCTAAGACCCCGGACGGCGTCAGGATGCCTCAGTGGCTCTTCCCTGTCGACAGCCTGCAGTGTGCTTGAGCTTTCTCCAACTGGACCAATCACAGTCATTTTTTATGAACTTGAGTGCTTATTGTGTGACGAGGTTTGGTTGTAGATGGGTCAGACGGAGACAGACAGACACTGTAAAAGGAGAGTCGGCGGGAAATAAAACAATAGAGCGACCTTGTAGCTTGAACTGCTGCTATTCTTGGTCACGCCTGGTTTCACGCTCACCATGAAGTTCATGAATCTAGCAAGATGCCTATTTGTCTTTATGTCTCCTAGGCGCTTGGGTTAATCAGAGCAACTTGCAACAGGGTGAAGGTGCTGGAAGAACGCGCCACTCTCTGCACCCATGTCACATGACAAGGTATGCTACAGTAAGCAACCAACAAGCCGATTAAGAAAAATAGAGAAAGACTACAGGCATTTGTACATCTTAATCAGCCACATTATAATCATTGTCCTTGAATGACTCCTGATGAGTCTGGAATTATTGGTCATCGTCTTATATAATTGCATTCCAGCTCCTGTCTGGACAAGAGAAGGTCTCCTCACTGGGAGGATACATGAACAACGTATGAAACATTAAGAACCAATATAAAGGAGAATAAGCAGACCCGGAAATTGGTAGGAGAATTTCGCTGCCCCCGAGCTCTATTAAGGCGAACCACAAATAAACAATGCGCATGCTGAAGGGAATCTAGTAAAACCGTCTAAGTAACCGGTCATGTCCAAAGAAGCAAGGTCGAAAGCAAGTCCATCATATGCTCGTCATAATTCATGCCTTAACGTCGTACTTGCGGCGGAACATATCGTCCACCTCAGTCAGGTAGTAGGTACCAGGGTAGAGAGTCTCGGTGCTGCCGGAAGGCTTGAAGTTCTTCTTGAGGTGAGCGTGCTCACGGAG